GCTAGCCCGTACAGATGGATCTTTGTGGCGATGGAGATATGCAATCGGAAAATCTAAAAGCATTGAAAAGCTTTGCAAAATCTATACGAATACATTGGATTCAGGAGACGCTGTCCTTACTCTGTCCAGTTTGAGCAAACGGTCGGCTTCATTCAATGCATAAAATTAATTCTAAAATGGCGACATCTTCCAATTAGATATCCAACACTTTGGTCCTTCCTGCGTTTACGCACAGACGGATTTATTGTTTAATCACTAAGTATGCAAAAGAGTGCATTAAACTGTGACCATCTTTGCTTTAAGATTTCTCACATGCCAAAAAACTACCTAAAAGGGAGAGGTTCATAAAGGCCTAGTTAAGGCAGAGCACGCAAACCTCAAAATAATCCCTATCAAAGTGGCTAAACAGAGCAAAAGTTGTGCGTGCCGTCTAAACTTTGGCATTCCGAAGGGTGGGGCAGGGCACAAATAATTGGCTCGAATTAAAACAATCAGAAAATTTACTTAGTTAAGTGACCACAGTGAAAATTACTTGACCGTAGGAAAAACAAACGAGATAAAAAAAGTTGCACCATAATAAGTACATCAGCCTCAAATGTAGCCTGGTTAAAAAATTTGGGTCGTTTGGTTTTAACGCAAACGTAAAATTTGTGTTGCAAAAGAAGCGGGTAGAATTTCTGTAAATAAAAGTTGTCATGAGTGATATGCCTTTTGAGAATTCTTCTTCGGCAGGTGTAAACGCAAACCTGTTCAAAGAAGTTGTCAATTCTAAAAGTTAGATAATATGATAAAACAGTTATAAACCCTCGACAAATTAGCTTTCATTGGCCAGTCAAGCAGAACTAAGTTCAGAATGTGAGAAAGTATACACTTAAACTAGAGTTGACGAAATTGCCATGCTAGTGGTTGTAAATAACGCAGGGACCCAAATGAAACTTAAAGACAGGTGTAAACTTCTCGAAAATTCTGTTGCAATGCTTTAGCACAGCATCCCGAGAAAGCACTTGAAGAAAAATAAACTCGATATAGACAGACAAACCTATAACTCGAGTTCAGCTTCAATACAGTAGTAAACGATCTCACGAATAGAAGCGAATATGCGTGCCCCAGTAAAAAATCTAAACATATTTTTGAAATGTGGTTTGTAGGAACCGAGGAATGCTAGCAGAGGAAAAATGCTAATAAACTATTCTTACAGAAATTACCATGCCCCGCTTTAACAGAGAGTACTGGATGTCTACAGAAAAGTTTTACCTTGCTTTAACACCCAAAGGGGTCTTAATACCGCAAGATTATTTGCATAGAAACAGAAGCTTACGCGGAATCCGAAGGTAGGGTGGCGCCCACTCGCTGAGTACAACCCACTCGAGTTTCCCAAGTGGTAGAAGTTTTTTTCGCAGCGGTTCAAGTACCTCTTTGACGAGTTTCTGCGGACTCTCAGGACCACGACCTCCGGGAGCGGATCGATGCCAAACCAAGGAGAGCCAATCGGGAGCATTAAACTGTTCGGCCACCTGAGAACGCAATTTCCGTATATTTTGAATTCGTTCATCATTAGCCGCATGATGACCAGATGCACCTCCAAAGTTGCGAGTGCTTGCTCTTTGGACCAGTGCCCTCCACACCGTTCGACGAATCTGTCATACAAAATTTATTTTGCAAAATTAACTTCCTAGGTTTCATTATAAAGAGAAATGTGCCAATCAGGGCTTTAAGTAAGCAAAGAATAGATGTGCGCAAAAATTCTAGGTCCAGACATAATATTCCCTTCATCATCCCCGGAAGAGGAAGAAGGGGCGATTTTTGGGACCAGGTTGTATTTAAGCTGACGTTTGGACGCTTGGACAAACTTACGGACACCAGCAGGAGAGCGGTTACCACGCTCTGACGATGGAAGCGAGAAAGCTTTTGAAACGTCAGCTTAAATACAACCTGGTCTCAGAAATCGCCCCTCCTTCCTCTTCCGGGGATGATGAAAGAAAGAATAGATGTGCCTGCTCACCTCACGGTTGCTGCAGTGTCGTAAGAAAATGAACGCAGTGCGGTCTATGCCAAGATTGACCCGCATTCCCGTCACGTAACCACCCTCGAGACGACCACCCAGGACTCGAAACAGCCAGGGCGGGGCTGACGCCGCGAGATCAGACTCCGCCACTGGCACTTGCCCTTGATCATCGGGGGAGAGCGCATTTGTAAGATAGTCAGGCAGCTGGGAGTCGATATTCTGAGAACCCTGATAGCGTCCACTGAGTCTGGCCGCACGTTGGGTTTGCGGTAAACTAACAAAGGCACTACTGGCGACCATTCGTTCGAATTCACGCTCAATACGGGTTAGTTCACCGCGTAGGTACTGCAATTCGGAGAGACGCTTCTGGGCCTGCCGCGGAGAAAGGCCGTGCGGAAAATGGTCCAGTGGGCAGGAGGCACATAGCGTGGGCTTGGACGGGGGTGAATCAGAGTTTCGACAGGCTATAGTAGACAGCCCGGCACCGCAAGCCCAGCTTTCGGCCAAGAACTGCTGTAAAATGCCTGCATTAAAGAAGAGTTCATAAATTAGCAAATCAATTCCATGAGGAGAGGAAACAATGAAGCTTGCAGAAAAGTGCCATATAATCAAGAGGTGCAAGAGTGGCCGCAGAAGTCCACAAGAACAGCTAGAATTCGAATGCATATGAGGGAGTACGAACGATTGCTACCATTATGCTTTAAATATACCTTTGCCAACCTTTGCGGTTGGCATGCCCTGGAGATAAGATGTTCCTCTGGTAAACTAACATAACTGATTATGCCGGTTGCAACGTTGCAATGCCATTTTTTATCTGTTGCGACCTTTTACCGAACTGTGCAGTTTCAACCATACTTAGCTGACTGAGAAACTTCATAGTTTATATTCAATCTGAGCGAAAGAGAGTATTGTGCACTCTAGCCAGGGTGAGTTTGCTGTAGAACAGCTAAGTTACAGCTAGTTAAAAAAAATCATTCAATCCCTTTCCCAACAGAATGCTTGACATTAACACATGCCTTTTATAGGCTGACAACGTTATTCCTATCAATTAACTTAGGCAGTCTATGCTTACAAATAAGTGACGTTCTCGTTGATGAATAGTATCATTTGGGGACATAGAAATCGGTTTGTTCGATAAAACACTATTACCAGAAATCGATAACGCTAAGGGACCATAAAGTTTAAGTGGTAAAATAAGAGGACTCCCCGGCAATTTCAAGAGAGCAGAAATTTAGTACTCCAAGTAACCCTGTCTAACCTCTACCCAGCAAACTTCGGATCAAATATGAATAGTGAATAGGCATCTGCTGCTGTTGCAGAATCGGTCGAAGATAAAGTCATTGAAGTCAACCAGTGTTATGACTAGCAGTGGATTTTGTTTGCATTTTTAGATTAAGTAATCAACGATTGTCTCAAATGCCAAAACAGAGTACAACGATGACGGCTTATACTGATCGCATTTAGGCCCTATGGCACCATACAGTTCCAAGACTCCAAAACGACCCGGGAACTAGTATATGTGGCAGTAAATATAGGCAAAAATGGCTATAACTGTTGAGTTCTTGTTTCACAGGCACTGATATGTGGGTAATTTGTGCAGCGAAAATACTTGAAAAAAATGTGAACTACACGAATATACGGTGTGACGCTGACCACATATCGATGCCAAATCTGTGTGAGGACCACGGAAGCAGCAACGGGATGAAGCTTCAGGAGCATAGTTACTGTGAGGGAAGCCTGAAGCTGCCCTGGTTATATATGACTTCGTGAGAAATAAGTTCTAAAAGAAAAACAATAACGGCGGTGTGGTAGGTGAATCTTTAGGCTGTGTAAGTGAACTCTAAATAAGAATCCAGTCTAACTCTACGGTCATGTTAGTAATCAAAGCAATTGAAAACGCTCATGTTCAGACTAGGAGATACAACGATAATAACCTTTTTTGGATCCTTTAGGGTCATCCAGTTCTAGGAGAATTTTGTGAAGAGCTTCATATATGGTTGCATCCGAGTAAAAATTTTCGGATTGCGCTTGTAGAACCTTGGATAACAGCCGACCACCAATGAGCCTCCAAATGGAATTATCCTGGATAACCCCGAAACCACTGATTAGTTGCATGGAGTATTGGAGAGGAAATAAGATTTCGTCAAGTTTGGCAACCAAACTATCGTAGGTCAGAGGAAATTTCCCCTGCTTCACTTCCTCTGATAGTTGAGTAAGGGAAACTTGGTATTCAATTATAAGCTTTGAAACTCCCGTGAATACATCGTCCGGGTGTACTGTTTTAAAACTAAAAGTATCTAACTATTACAGTTACAGTACCTTGGTAGGTGTGCATGATTCAAAATGGGATTTTTTGATGGGTCATCGTTCGGAATCTCAGGTATGACATAATAAAATTGTCCTCGAGACTCTGTGAATGCTTCTGAGGAAAATATCGTCCGCAGGCACTCATGGCGCGGAAAACGGGCAATATGCCGAGAAACGACTCGCAACATCCGGCAAATGGTGCCAATTTAGACGTCCACTACCAATCCGCCAAGAGCGCCTTTAATTCCAGTTCATTATAACTTCAAAATTAGGTGTATTGAGCTTCTGATTATTACTCTATCTGTGAAAAAACTAGTAGAATCTGCCAAATTGTGAATTTAATTTAGATATAGATCTTTTTTTCCGCTTCAACATACATATCTACGCCTCAATGACTAATCAAATGCTCACTTCTGCTGTCGAATATGGCAACTCCAACTGTCCGAGCAGTCCAAATCCATCGGCTCCGGAATAACACGGTTATCATATTCGGGCACTGTAAGAGTAAGAATGTCAAGATA